TCTAACCATTCCAAAAAAACGGTTCTTACTAGATTTTTTGCTCATGTAAAGAGTTTGTGGTTGAGGTTAAAAGCTAGTAATGATTCATACCAAGGTAGTCTCATTTCTATTTATTACTACATATATATATATATATATATATATATATAATATAATATAAAAATGAAATATTATTTAGTATAACTTTTTCTTATAAATTTCTAAAATTTTTTTTTTATAAATTGATAGTTATTAAGGTTAACTTGAAGATTATTCATTTAATTTAACAAAGACATATAGTAGAGGACAAGAATTCGTAACTCTACTTATAGAATTCGTGGCATATGTTGAACTTTATTAACAAAATTTATCAAAAGCACACCATCCAATAGCCTTAATCCTAGAGAGTATATATATACAAAGTTTTGTCAAGAAGTTGTTTCAATTTTTTTTGCCAATATGATGTGCTGTGTAACTGAACTCTACCCTTAAAAAATTTTAATTGGTGCTCACTGCGTCTATATATATAGTTGTGTAATGTTGTGTCAACACGTCCAACATTTATTATTTTGTTGTTTATTATTCGCGTAAATAGCCATTTAATATACAAATCCAAAAAATGAACTCATACCAAAAAAACTTATCGAGTCTTTAATTATTAATTACTGGAATTGAAAGACGATTTCTAAAAACATAGGGTTTTACAATTGTCTTCAACAAATTGGCACAAAGATTAATTTGACTTCAGATGATAAGTGGGAAGTTCTCAGACTTTACTATAGTACACTTTCAACTCTTAGTGAAGAAAGCTCAATCAGCCAAGCAGTGAGAAAAAAGATGGAAGCTGAGAAAAAAGATTTTATGGTATGCATATATGCAAGGGAGGCAAAGTGAGGCAAATGAAACAAGTTGCAAACTATTAAATACTTTTCTCTCTACTACAGAAAACAATCAAATCTCTTGAAGTGACAAAATTCTGGGAAAGTAAACAAGGAGAATCATATAGAACCACTTTAGACAGCCATATGTGAAAGGAAAAGATGTATTTAAGCTCCCTTCATCTCACGCAATTGCAGGAGGAAGATACAAATGAAATTGCAGAGGAAAAGGATGAAACCACAGATGAATATGCCTGCATTGAGAATGAAGTGTTTGATGTGGAAAATAATGAAGGTGATGAGCTGGATGCCATATATCGAACTCGACGTTGGATATTATCTAGTGGTACAGATGTGGGTCAAATTTTGTCTGAATACAGGCAAAAAATTCCAGAGTCACAAAAGTGTATTGAGTGAGTTAGCTTTTTTACTACCAACTGTGTTTAAAATCCAAATATTCATGACAACTATTGTTTTCCTTATATAGCCCCATCTACTGGGGAATCCTCGATTTGACAGGATCACACCCAGAAACCAAACAACTTTTTTCCCCAAAAGACTGGGCCGAAATGATAAAAAGCTTTGAAGATGAAATAGAAT